TTAATTCTTTTTAGTATTTTTGCAAACAGGATTTTCTTAATTTCCTTTTCAGATAGTTCACTGTGTATAGAAACACCACTGATTTTTGTATCCTGCATTTTTACTAAATTCATTTGTTAGTTCTAACTTTTGTTAATGAATCCTTAGGACTTTCTATATATGTTAATATCACCTTCAAATATATGATTTTTTTCTTTCTCTTGTCTAATTACTCTGGCTAGGACTTCAGTACTGTCTTAAGTAAAAGTGGCAAAGAGCAGGCAACCTTTGCCTTGTACCAGATTTTAGAGGAAAAGCTTTCAACTTTTTTCCCATTGACAGTGATGTGAGCTATAAGTTTTTCATATATGGTTCTTAATGTGTGGAATTACACTGCTTCAATACCTATTTTGTTGAGAGTTTTCATGATCAATGGATATTAAATTTTGTAAAGAGGTCTTTCTACATCTATTGAGATGATCACATGATCTCCATCTGTTAACACGACTGTATTATAATGATTGATTTACCCATGTTCAACCATCTTTTCATCACAGGGATAAATCCCATTTGGTCATGGTATATTTATTCTTGTCATATGCTGCTAAATTCAGTTTTCAATCATTTTATTGAAAATTTTTGTACCTATGTGTATCAGGAATATTGACCCATAGCTGTTTTCTCATGTCTTTGCTGACCTGGTTTTCAATGGAATGCTGGCACTTCTGTTCTTTTGCCAGTTTTATTTCTCCAGCCTTTCACTTTTAGACTATATGTGTCCTTAAATCTAAGGTGAGTCTCTTACAGACAGTATATAATTGGCATTTTGTAATTGGCATTTTGTTTTTTACCCATTCAGCCACTCTTAGCCTTCTGATTGGAAAGTTTAGTTCATTTACACTTAAAGCAATTATTGTAAGGTAAGGGTTTACTCTTGCCATTTTATTAAATTTATTTTTATTTATTTATTTGTTTGTTTGTTTATTGTCTGTGTTGTAGTTTCCTTGCTCCTCTCTTTTTTGTTGTTATTTAGTGTGGTCTGATGATATTTTGTGGCCATATATTTTGATTCTTTTCTTTTTGTCTTTTGTGTATCTAAATTTTGTTTAGTTTTTTGTTTTGTTTTGTTTTTGGTTACCACAGGGTTTACACTGAACATTTTCCAGGTATAACACTATCTTAAACTGATAACAACTTAATTTCAATCACAAACACTCTAATTTGTACACCCTATATATAAACACTTTACATAATTAATCTCAGATTTTATTCCTTCCTATATTGTGTTTCCACTAACAAATTTCTATTCTTACTATACTTGTCTCCTAATTTACATACTGATATTAAAATTTTCATGTCACAAAATGTTACATTTTCCTCCAACCATTTACAAATATAAAACCCATTATTAGCACAGGCTAGACAAAAGGAAACATAGGGTGCTTTTATCCTGAGGCTCTTATCTGTAGACTTCTGATCTAAACAATTTGTGTATGTATTTAAAAACTGTGAAAACAGATTTTTTATTCTACCTGGTCAGTAGTGATTCAAATAAAGGAGGTGGCAGGGTTTTTATTGTTGTTGTTGTTATTGTTTTGTTCATTTGTTTGTTTTTAATAATGTTTAAACACAACATCTGATTAGTTTGCAAAAAAATCTGTTACAGCCAGGAGCAGTGGCACACACCTGTAATGCCAGCGACTCAGGAGGCTGAGGCCTTAAGAACTTAGAGATGCTCTAAAGCAACTTAATGAGATCCTGTCTCAAAAAAAGCTTGGGAGGCTGGGGGTGTGGCTCAATGGTAAAGTACCTCTGGGTTCATTTAATCTCCAGTAGAAAAAAAAGAAAAAAGAAAAGAAATCATATTATGTGTATAAATAAACACACTACAAGGATTTTTACCTTTACTAAGTGTGTGTGAAAGGCACCCATCAAGGATGGATGAGGAATGAGCAAGGGGAGGACAGTGGAATAGAATGGGAATGGGGAACATGTGGGGAGGCAGCAACAAACAGGGACTGAAATGGAGTGGGTCAGATGCCATGCATGTAAGAATTTGTTGAGATGAACCCAGCTACTATATAAAACTATAATGTGCTAATAAAAATAATAATAATACTTTGTTAGTACTGGGGAAGACAGAAATTCGCTGGAGGATTTTAAAAAAAATTCCCATAACTGGTAATAGAACTGAAAAAAAAACATATACATGATTTACAGGGGCCACTACACTGATGACAGATGGATTGATAAATCTGTGAGTTACCAGCAACATTACATTTAATTTTAAAAATGAAACTCAGACTAGACTTTCATCTGGGTCATAAATTTTTAAAATCAATTTTCAAAAACAAAGTAACATTCAATCACATTCCTCACTACATATAAAAATACAAATACATATAATGCTTTGGTGAGAATAAAATATTTTTGTACTATTATAAAAATTTAAGTAGTTTTATTATTGTTTTTGTCTTAAATGTATGTAATATATTATTATAAATGTTAGCATATGTATACAACTTATAAAAAGTCTACGTGCTTTTATAACAGAGCCCAGCACATAGAGACCCCGCAATAAATATGAGATACATGCTCAAATTTCTCTATCACTGACTGGGTACAGAATCAAAAAGTTCAACATATATTGATCTAGGTAAATAACAGTGGCTTGGAATATGCTTTGCTTTATAGTCTAGAGGTAGCACCACAAGACTTTACTAATAACCTGAATGTGGGATGAAGGAAAGAGAGGCCTCATAATGACTACAATGTTATGGCCTGAGACAAACAGAAGTGCCAGTTATTATTTTAATAGTATTTAAAGCAAGAGTCAGGGTAATAAATCTGAATACTAGCCTTGCTCAACAGACTTTCTATATCTTATTTTTCTTTACTGTTGAAAGAAAACAAAGCATAACAACAACAACAACAAAAAAAAACTGGCTTATAAAACAAAACAAAAAAATCTTATGACTACCTATATTTTTTCCATATTGAGTGCAAAGTATTCTTTCAACTGACAATTTTGTTATCTTATCTCAAAATTGAAGACCAGTACAAATATATGCGATTTTAGAGTTTTGTACATATTTGGTATTTTAAGACTCAATTTTGCTACATATAAACTATAATTAATATTCAAAATTATTCATCAAACATAATAATGAACTCCTAATTTGAAATTACATGTCAGGTTTATCAAAAGTGTACAAATGGAGTTTATTCTGAATAATTTTAATATTTTAAAAATTATACACACATAAAAATGCAAGAAAAAAATATTTTCATAAGATAATGATAAACTAAGATTAGCAAGGCACAATTAAGGCCACAGAAAAACTGTCAGCACTTTTTTCATAATTCATAAATAATTTGAATACAAATTTCATTACTAAAATCATCTTTTATCAACATACTTTCTTTCCTGGTCTCACTATAAAATATAACATCAAATACTCCTGTTCTAGATTTTTAACTTTCCATTGACCACCATTCTTAAATTTAGTTTCCTCTCATTTCTGATGACTAGGTAACTGAAGAAATAAATATATTCATTTTAAAATGTCCATTCAAGAAAATAACAAATTATGAAACATGCACATCATAGATTATCATTTCAACTAGTGAATGAAAGTGTTATTTGAAAAATATAAAATTTATTAATATTATATGTAGGAAAATAAATATGCATACCTCTAAAACTGAAATAAATGTCACATGAATAAAAATAACAAAAAGCAATTTTAGAGTTCTGTACATATTTGGAATGGAATGGAATGGAGTTTTTCCAATTTTTTTTAATTATAATAAATAATTTAAGAAGAAATCTTTGGAGCTGGGGATATAGCTCAACTGGTAGAGTGCTTGCCTCACATGCACAGGGCCCTGGGTTCAATCCCCACCACCACAATAAATAAATAAATAATGTTTAGGGGTAAAAAACATTGCTAAATGATGATGATGGCATTATTCATTCTGGTAACACATCAACATTTTTGTTAAGAAACTTCTAAAGGCTGGAGGTCTTACCAAAGGAGACACTTCATGGCAATGGTTCTTTACCATGTAAGTACTATCCTTTTCCCTAGAGATACTAAAAGTTGTCAAAATGACCAAGGACTATTATTAGCATTTTGGTGGCAATTCCTTATAATGGTTAATTTTATTGTCATCTTGACTGGGTCACAGTATGTCCAAATATTTGGTCAAACAGTATTCTAGGTTTTGGGTTGTTTTAGATGAAATTAACATTTAAATTATCAGATTGAGTAAAGCAAATGCTCTCTATAATATGGGTGGGCTTCATCCAATCAGCTGAAGTCCAAAATAAAACAAAAAGTTCCTGAGCATGAAAACTCGTTCTTCCTTCAGGCTCTAACTAGAATATTGGCTCTTCCAGATTCGCAAGCCTTCAAACTCGACTGGAACTACACCATCTGCTTACCTGAGTTTCTAGAGTATCAGTTCACCTTGCAACTCCTGGGATTTGCCACCTTTCATAATTCCATGCGCAAATTCTTTATAATATTGAGTATCTTTGTCTTTCTCTCCCTTTCACACACACTATTACTTCTGCTTCTAGGGGCCATTGATACTCTTACTGAGAATCAATGCTTCAGCTGGGTAGAAATTTTGGTCCTGGTGGCAGGCTAGACATAGCAAATATACTCTCTAACATTCCTCACATTACCCCATATCAGAGGTCATTTTTGTTGCGGAATCAGAAAAAGTTACTCTAAAGTAGCCTATAAATATTTAAAATTTAAGTTTATCTCCTTTCTTTAAACACATATAATTTTAAATTACCTGATACAGGTAGCTTATAGTGTTTTATTTATTTTGTTTTTCTTTAAGTTACAGATTGTACATTTATTAAAGAATTTTTTTTTTTTTTGCTTAGAGGACTTATGAATATACATGAAGTTAAGCATATCCTTTGAAAGATTTCTTCAAAAAACAATTCTATCAATACATAAAAATCAAGATGCTGCTGTTGGCCAAGATGTAAACAGACCAACCTCAAACAGACTAGCTGTGAGTTCTTCCAATTCCTGTCCAAGTTGATCTCGCACTTTTGAAAGCCTTTCACATTCTTCATCTTTCAACTTCAGTTCCTATGAAAAATTAATAATTTTATTTGGGGACTCCACAGTATATAGTTTGATTCAAAAGGCTATAAATGTTTGCTAATAAAACTACAAATTATTAACACTAGCTTCTCCTACATGTTCACATTGAAAATGTTTATCTAGTACTTGCTACATGAAAGGCTAAAATTTTACATAGTCTAAAATCACAAATAATCCAACTAACATATACTAAAATTTCACATTTCTTTCATAAAATACCCAAAGATTAAATATGAATATATATTATAAGTAATAAAATGATTTCACTCTTTTTTTCCCCTTCATTTTTCTCTTGAACATATTTATTTCTATCCAGCAAGGAATGTTTTTAATTATGCTTATTAATTTCAATTAAAGTTCAGTGGTTTTTTCACATTTATTTTAAAAGTTGTTTACATATAGATACCTATGTGCCATACTATAATAAATCTAAAATTTCTATTAGATTATCCATTTAACACAGTAACCAGAGGTAAACAATGCATATTAGCATTTAAAATCAAAAACAATGTTAATGACAAAAGTTACAACCTATATTTACATGTGACTTCTCTACAGGTCACAAACAGATGTCTAAAAATTATTAAGATGCTAAAAATATGCAATTTCAAATGTCTAACTAGCTCTAAATTAACCTTTCAAACACTGAAAAAAAAAAAAGCAAGCTCCTTAAACAGCAGTCACACACACACACAAAAAAGTCACAATTACAGAAACAAAATACAAGATAGTTGTGTTGTAATTGTAGTAGGAGCACAGTTTTTAAATCTCCTAAAGATAACTACTAAAAACCAAATATATCAATTAGAAAATCAGAAGAACCTAATGACTATATCATCATCAAAACTAGGTAAAAGAGAATCCCCACTAATTTCAGAATATGAGAGAATGATTCATATTGCCCACAATGCAGGATCAGAAGGGAATCACAGGAAATGAAAGGATCTCAGAACCCCAAAATCACTAAATAACTCAAAAAGTGCTGTTGAGAGAACAAATCTGAGGACAAATGGAGAAAACCAGAAAGGTTTTCACAGGCCCCATCTGTAGATGAATTAAGACAAACAAAACAAAACAAACATGTATATTCCACTCTGTAGGCAGCAAATGGTGCTGAGAAGCTCTAAACTCTTAAGGATCTTGGAAGTCTGCAAAGAGCTCCTGGCCAAGGACAGAGTCTCATACTAAGGGAAAAATGCTTGGAATTTGAAAACAAACTGCCAGACAAAAACAATGGCGATAAGCAGAGAGAAGGAACCGACACAAGAGGAGAAAGGGGGTGGCAAGGTTACAAAAGAAACAGATCACAGAGTGTGAGGGAAAGAGAAAACTATCTTGTAATGAAATGTTACACCTGTATAGCTCTTAGAAACACTGAGCTAGAGGAGAAAACCTGCTTGAACAAGGTATACCTCTGAGAGATGGAAGTGTACACAAATATGCCAATATCAACAGAGGGGGAAAGCTATCCAGGCTTATCCTACTCCTTCACAGGAACTTCCTCCTAAGGGCCAAGGAAAATCCAATTCACACTAATATGCGAAAAAAACACAAATACATAAACTTACAGTTAGAAGATAAGATGTTCTGGTGCACAAAAACATGCGACTATAAATATAAAAATAAATTCTACATTTCAAAAAGCTTTAAGAAAGGATTTTGAATGTTTTTGCAGCAAAATAAATGATAACTTTTTGTGGAGATATGTTTAACCTGACTTAAACACACTACCACCTATATGTGTGTTGAAACATTACATGGTTTCCCATTAATACTTAACAATTTATGTTTATCAGTTGAAATTTTTAAAAAGCTAAATGCAAAGCCAAGCCAAATACAAGGAGGAAAAAAATCACATCAAAGTTTTACAGCAACATCTCTAGAAAACAAAGTAACATTTTTTAGATATTGAAGAAAAAAACGTAAACTGAGTATTTTATATTCAGCCAAAGTGTTTTCCACGTATAAGGCCAGAAAGTATCATAAATCTGTAAGACCTTAGAAAATCTCTCTCTCATCAGCCTGCCTGAATGATGGAGCAGAGAATATGAATAAGGAAAAAAAATCTACAGAAGCTTTAATTAAGGACTGGAGATGAGAAGGAATCACACTGAACCATAGTACTATGACTAAAAGATGGAGATATCAAGAGAATGAGATGTCAACCCACAGATTGGGAGAAAATATCTGTAAAAGACATATCTGCTCCCAAAATATGCAAAGAACGCTTAAAACAACATTCAGACAAGAACAATCCAATTTTTAAAATGGACAAAAACACCAGAATAGACATTTCACAAAGAGGATACATAAATGACAACTAAGCACATAAGATGCTCAACATCGTTTCTCATTAGGGAAATGCAAATTAAAGCAACAAAGTGATGCTACCACATACCTATTAGAATGGCCAAACTCTGAACACTAATGACATCAAACTGTGAGTGTGTGGAGCAACAGGAACTCTCATTCATCACTGGTAGGAATGTAAACAACACAGCCACTTTGGAAGATAGTTTGGCAGTTTCTTACAAAACCAAACAACTCTTACCATACGATCCAGCACTCGTACTTCTTGGTAAGTACCCACAAGTTGGAAACATGTCCACACAAAAACCTGTACACTGACATTCATAGCTGCGTTATTCATAATCGCCAAAACTTGGAAGTAGCCAGGATGTCTTTCAGTAGGTGAATGATTAAATTACATCCAGATAATGGAACATCATTCAGTGCTAAAAGGAAATGAGCTATTAATCCATGAAAAGACATGGTGGAACCTATAATGCATATTACTAAGTGAAAAATCTGAAAAACTCAAAAACTACATACATACTTCCAACTGTCTTACATAGTAGAAAAAAGTAAAACTATGAAAATTTTTAAAAAATATCTGTGGTTACCAGGGTTTTTTTTTTTGGGGGGGGGGGGGAAGAGGGATGAACAGGCAGAGCACAGAGGATTCTTAAAGCAATAAAACTATTCTCTATGATACTATAATGGTGGATACATACACATCTTACATTTGTCAAAACTCACAGAATATAAAACACCAGGAGTGAACCCAAACGTAAACAAAGAACTTTGAGGGATAATGAGTCAACAGAGTTTTATCAATTATAACAAATGTACCACTCTGGTGGGTGATGCTTATAGTGAAGGGCTCTGAATGGGCACTCTGTACTTTCCTCTTTTCTATGAACCTAAAATTGCTCTTAAAAAAAAGTGTCTATATTTTAAATGGGATAAAGCTAACAAAACAGTATATAAATGACATAAGTTTTGAGAATACAGAAATGAAAAAATAGGTGAAAGATGAAACTAAGTCTCCTAACTTTTTAAGAAATTAGCTGAAAGTAAACAGATACAACTTGAGGCTCACAAAACAATGTGTATAAACTTGAACATAGTTCAGATTACAGAGGTTAACATTATGATGGTACCTGTAACTAAAATTAAATTATAGAGAAAAAGGAAAGAAATAGTTATTAAATTATTTTAGTATTGTTTGTGGTGGGGACCAAAGACAGTCTCTACAGAAGGGCCAATTTATCTTAAATCTTTGATTTCCTAATGACACACCTAATGCCCAAACAGTCTTTCAATATTTCACACAAACCTCTCCACGTACTTATGGGCATTCCAGTTTTAAAAAATAAAAGTAATATTCATGTTTTGTCACAACTATTTGTTAGATACATCAAAGACTATCACTTTAGTAACAACTGGAATGAAAATAAAAGCCTTCCAAATGACCAAAAAGAAAAACTGAAGGAAAATACAAAGCAAACCGGGTACATAGTGAAAAGGTTCATATACACATACAATAAACATCGGAAAGTTATGTGACAAAAAAAGCCCAAACAGCATCTTTATTAATAAATTTAAGTGGATATAACTCATCTATTAAAAGAAAATGACATTCAGACCTGGCAAAGAAGCAAAATCCATCCCTATGCTCTGTACAACAGACATACCTAAAGTGAAGTGATTCAGACAGATTAAAAATAAAAGGATGGGCAGAACTATACCAAAAACAATATAAGAAAAATAAAATGGACAGGACAGGACTGAAATCACTGAAGATGACAAAGGAAATTTAAAATGCTAAAGACTACAAGGCACAATGAAAACTTTTAAATAGTCATGAAAAAACACAAAAGTAGACCTAAACAAATAGAAAGAAAAATCCATGTTCTTGGACAGAAAGACATCATTAAAATGCCAGTTCTCTTGGGACTGAGGCTGTAGCTCAGTGGCACAGTTCTTGCCTTGCACGTGTGAGACACTGGGTTCAATCCTCAGCACCACATAAAAGCAAACAAATAAAATAAAGGCATGCTGTCCATCTAACACAGATTTTTTTTTAAATGCCAGCTCTCCCTACATTAACTTACACATTAATAAATGCATAAATTTAATGTCAGGTCCTTTCAAATCCTAATTTTTACAACTTTATGTGAAATCTAACTTCACTCAACATTTTCTACTACGTAAGCAGTATGGTAATTTCCAGGATACAAAAACAAATAAAATACTATACCCTTGAGAAGCTTTCAAACCAACAGATCAATTCATATGTCATTCATGAAAGCAAAATTCTCAAGTAGTTCCCTACTATCTACCAAAGTAGAGTAAACCTCACCTTAATACGCTCTGCAACATATGCCGTTTTCCTTTTCAGAGTTACTTCCCATGATCCATGCTCTAAGGTGAGTTAAACTGGTCTTATTTGCTCTCCATTCATTGCCATGCTGATCCCATCCTCCTGAATTCTTTCCCCATGAATAACTGATAACTTTCTTTCTTGTTACCAAGATAAACCCAGGGGCACTTCACCACTGAGCCACATGCCCAGTCCTCTTTATTTTTTATTTTGAGACAGGGTATCACTAACTTGCTGAGGCTGGTCTTGAACTTTCAATCCTCCCGCCTCAGCCTCCCAAGTCGCTGGGATTACAGGCATGTACCAGCACACCCAGCTG